ATCTTCTTTCCCCCAAAGCCTAGAACAATGCCTAATGCAGAGTAGGTGCTTAAAAAATACTTGTCGCATGAATGGAAGAATGAATGAATGTTGATGGAAAGTGCTAGTGCTTTGGGGAACTTGTGGGGGAGGGGAGGCTTGGGAGAGGAGGGCTGGATAGGTGTGTGGGGGCATAATTGGCTGGAGCCAAGGTGTCAGAGGAGGGGTTTATTTACTTATTCGGTACTTATTAAGCACCTACTGTGTACTAGGCAAATGCCAGGCACCGGGAGTTGCTCCCAGTTAGAAGCTCTGCCCAGGTGAGAGGACTTTGGGGTTTCAGAATGCAAGTGGGCCATGTGAGTGAGGCCCCAGCTTAAGCGCATGGAACCAGGAGGAACCTTCTGGCCCAGCCCTGGCCACGATGCAGACTCCTGAGCTGGATGGTGTTTGAGGTCTGTGTTTTGGGAGGTTTGTTACACAGCATTGGATAACTGAACAGCAGGACTTCGGGATTTCAGGACCTGGGCCTTAAGGCATAGGCTCTTGTTTTAACAGCTGTTCTGGTGCCTCAGTTGGTGGCACCAGCAGGTCGAGCCCTCGTCAGAGGTAATGATCCCCAGGAGGCAGAGTGGGAAGACTCGGGTGGCAGGAGAATCAGACCTTGCTGTGGCCCCCAGACCCAGAAGGACAGGAACTCCAGGTGGACGTGGGGAGAGCCAGATCAGAGGGAACCAAGCCCCAGGGTGCCTGGCCTGGCATGGGGTGAGAACACAGGAGACACATCTGGGAGGCATGGTAGCCTGAGACAGTCACGTCCTGTCTTCGTGGGGAAACTGAGGCAGAGGTGAAGCAAGTAACCACTAACTGGCCTGGCCGAGAGTCAAAGGCAGGCAGGCAGTCTCCAGAGTCGAGCTGCCTCCCCCTGAGGCTCGGACGGGAGAGGGGAGGGCCCTGGCTGCAGAGCATGGGGAAGCCTCCGAGGGGGTGTCTGGTGGCCCTGGAGAGGCGACTCCCATGTTTGCCTGGTGAGCGGAGCACAGGGGTCTCTGGCAGGACTTTCTGATGAATGAGGTAGTGAGCTCCCTGCCACCAGGTGTGCGTGCAGAGTCCGATGCCCCCGGTTGGAGGGCCGTTGAGAGGTGGGCGCTGGGCTTCTGAAGGGCCTGAGCTCTTATAGCCAAACTGCCAATATGCAGGCAACGGGGCCCTGCCTGGGCATTCACATAAAATGGTCCAGGCAGGACTGGGGCCCAAGCCCAGCCGCCTGACCTTGGCTTTGCCCACTGGCCACCTTCTCACCACCTGCAGCTGCCTTCCTGCTGCCACCACCAGCGGTGCCCACCAGGCTGGGTCAGGAAAGGGCAGGAGCCGATTCCCTACGGGTTTCACGCCTGCCCCCGTTTCCCCTGCACCTGCTGCTGCTTGGAAGGGAGGGTCAGGGCCAGGGTCCCAGGTGTCCAGGCTTCCCCATACCACAGGCCCTGCTGGCCTGGACTTTCTGTGGCCCCATGACAGACTCCACCTCCCACCGTGGACCGGTAGGCCCCTAATTTAGGACGTGGAAACAGGCCCACACTCGAGGCCAGTGGTCCTCTCTGCTTAACGTACAGGATGCAGGACTTCATCTCATCTTCACACCCACCGCACATGGGCACTGATTCATTCTCCGTTTCACAGAGTTTGTCCGGGGTCCTACAGCCCGTCAGGAGGTCAAGGTCCAAACCCACGTCTGTTGGGTAGCAGGGTATGGAGCTCAAGCTCCGACCAGCCGGCGTCGGTGGGTGGAGAGGGCGCAGGGCCTGGGGTCACAACGGCCAGGGTGGCGAGGCCACGAAACCCAAGATGCATTTCATCCCATTGAGAATCTGGGGAGGCTGCTAGAGGAGTGAGCCGAGCCTCCAAAAACCACAGTTAAGGAACGGGTGGGAGGGACAGGGACCAAGGAGCGTGACCACGCGTGCAGGCCCCGCCGTCAGGGGCCGGGAGGGTCTGAACAGAGGCCTGGACGGTCTGAACAGAGGCCTGGACGCCCGGGAGGGCAGTGACTCCGAAGACCGCGGCCCGTGCTGCCGTCCCCAGCACCCCGCCGTCCCGGGAGCGCCCGGCCCAGGAGGGCCGCGCACGCGCCGCCGCCGGGACGTGACTAGGGCAACGTACACGCCGGGCGGCGGCGGGGGGCGGTGTCTGTGGCAGCAGCCGTCGGGCCGGGGGCTGGGCCGGGGGCTGGGTCGGGGCTCTCGGCGCCGCAATCTGAGCGTATCCCTGCGCGCTGAGCGTTTCCCTGCGGTCTGGTCTCCACTCAGGCACTCCCTTAGCCACCCGGTCACCCTTCAGGGGTCCTCGCGGCCCGCCCGCCGCTAATTAGGGGACGGACGCAGTAGCCAAGGCGACCGCCGGATTGACAGGCACGCGCGCCAACCAGCTTCCGGAAGCTGCCGTCTGGGCCTGCCCGGCGCGTGGCCGGTGGCCCAGTGACAAACGTGGAAGCGCCAAGGGGGCGGTGACCGGGCAGGCTGGCTTGTGGCGGTTCCCCGGTGATTGCGCGCTGGGGACTGAGGCGATTTCGGGCGTTCGGACGATGCCGTGACGTAGCGTGGCGACAGCGTTGACGGCGTGAGCGCACCCCCGTGCAGGGAGCCCTACGGCCGCGGGGGAGGCGCGGACAGGAGGCAGGCTGCAGTTTGGGGCGTTCGCGGAGCCCCTCGGTGGGTGGGGGAGGGGCGGTGGACGGTCCCCGTCTGCGCGTGCGCCTGCCCCTCTGCTGACCCGGCCGCAGGCGCGCGCATGCTCGCTGCACGCGGAGCCGCCGTGGCCGGTTGTACTGCGCGTGCGCGCGGAGCCGCCCGCTGAGGAGAGGCGCTGGCGGACGTCGGGCGGGCGGCCGTGACGTCGTGAGGAGCGCTTTAAAGTGCGGGCCGAGCCGGGCGTCCGAGGGTCCGGCCGGGAGTCGGGCCGAGCCTCCGCGGCCGCCCTGCGCGGCATGAGGCCCTGCCGGCGCCCCTGCCCCCCGGGACGCGGAGAAGGCGGAGGAGGAGGGAGCCTCGTCGCCGTCGCCGCCGCCGCCGCATGACCTGCCGCCCCTGAGGCCGAACCGCCGCCCCTCGACGCCCCTGCTGGGCGGCGCGGCCTCGCTCGCGGGCCTGGCGCTGAGGGCCTCTGCGGCCCGGGGCCCGGGCGCGTCCCCCAGAGCCATGCCCGGCCGCCCCGCCCGCCGCGGAGGGCCCTAGAGCAGCGGTGTGGACCATGGCGGCCGCCAGCGGCTACACGGACCTGCGGGAGAAGCTCAAGTCCATGACGTCCCGGGACAACTACAAGGCGGGCAGTCGGGAGGCCGCGGCCGCCGCCGCCGCCGCCGTGGCCGCGGCC